CCCGCGGCCACCGCCGCCGCCACGGCCGCGCTCTATCCCAGCCCCAGCTTGCAGTCCCCGCCCGGGCCCTTCGGCGCGGTGGCCGCCGCCTCGCACTTGGGGGGCCATTACCACTAGACCGGGCGGCCGGATGTCGCGCGGCCTCTCCCACCGCCCAGAGCCTCGCCCGGTCCTGTCCACACCCGGGGAGGGGGCCCGGATCCTCCCCGACGTTCTTTTGACCCAGAGTTTACTCCGCCTGCCGCACCCCGTCCCGGGGAAAGGGACCAGAAGCCTCCCCGGTCTTCTTTGAGACCAGATTGGCCTCCGCCTCACCCCAGGTCCCCTGCGAGGGCAACCGTGGCCCTGCCCCATCCTCTAACTTCCATCTTCGTCTGGGTGCTGGGGTCCTGGGAGGGGGCTCCCGGACCTCCTCTCCTCCTCTGTCTCCCCCCGCCGCTTGCACTTCAGGCCTGGTTCCTAGAAGCCCCTCCATTAGGACCCCTCTTTTTCGAAAACCAAATCTTTTCTCACTTTCTCTCTGCCCCACGGAGCTGCCCCCGATCCCAGCAGTGGGGAGGCCTCTCACAGTCCTTTTTCCCAGAATCTGAGCGGGTTTGGCAAGGGCCACTGCCCCCCACGACACTTGCCCCGCCCCCGTTCCTCCTGTCCCCACTGTCTGGCAGGAGGGCCCCGTGTGTTTCTTTTCCCTTCCAGCCCCATTAAAGCTCCCGAGCGCCCCGCTGCCTCCTCTCTGTTCTTTGCTGCACCGAACCTTTTCTTTCTTTTTTTTTTCTGGGGGAAAAGGAGGGAGAGGCTCAGTCCAGGCCAGAGCAGAAAGGCCTGCCAGGGAAGAGCTCCAGAGACCGAGGGCAAACCAGGCTTGGGTGCTGGTGGGTGGGCTCAGCCTGAGGGAAACCCCCTGCTGTATCTGCCGACCCCGTCGATCCCAGCCCTCCTGCATCCACCGCCTCTCGCCCCACCCCATCCCGACTTCCAGCAGGCACCACGTCCCGCCTCCCCCGTCTCGCCCATCCTTCCGCCTGCCCCCCACCTCCTCCCAGCCTTCATCCCATCTCAGCCTCCCCTCGGCCGCTCCATTTATCCGGTTCCCCACGGTCGTCCCATTCCCCACCATGACTCTCTGCACGCCCCCATCCTACTCTTACTCCAACTTTCACTCACAAACCGTCTTACGCCCACCCCACCCCTCCCGCGCTGGCGGCTCGCAGCCGGGGCTGGCCGCGGCACAGTCCTTCTCGCGGGTGGTGCGCGCCCTCTGCTGGCCGGAGGTGGGTAAACCAGGGCCAGGTTTTCCACCTAAGCCGAGGGAGGCTTCGCGCGCCGCGGCGTGGAATTGAGTGCCTCACCACGCTGAGGACCCGGGGACCCGGTCGCTTCCGGGCCGCCTTTGATTTTCAGAGAGGAGGGTGAAATGGGGAGTCCTGGCCCTGTATCCCAGGTCCGGGCGCGAGAAGTCTGGGAAGTGGGTGGAGTGGATCGGTCTCCTGGCTGGGCCCTTTTCTTCACCACCTAGAGGTCTTTCTGATTCTTCATCCACCGCGGCTCTTTTCCCGCCTTTTTCAAAACTTCTTGGCAGGAAGCAGGTTTCTCTTAGAAGGAAATGTCTTCTCTTAGACGAAAACAACCCCGGGGAAGATGCCTGAAGTGATAGGCTGCACTTGAAGCTGCACTCCAAGGCTAGCTCCTTGCTCGCCCTTCCGCATGGTCCTGGTATTTCCCAGGGGCATATCTCTTCCTGGACCATAGGTTCCTCCTGGTAGGTGCAAGAATGCCCTGGCCCCTCAAGGCAGTTGAGGAGCTTTCCCTGTGCCCTGTGGGCAGGAAGGGGAAATGCGGTTGGAAGGCTGGACAATCGGTGTGGGGGGCAGGTCTGAATGCACCTCTCAAAGAGTGCTGATGAACTCCTCCAGGTCCACACAGGGCAAGAGTCTTTACTCGTTTTCATTTTATTTTTCACTCTATTTTTTTCTGGTTCTCCATATAACACACACTCAGCATAGAAAATTCAGAAAATACCAAATTAAGGCCTCCATTAAATATTGGTGGCATGAAGATTATAATGAAGCATGGGGGGAAATGACCTATAGTCCCATTACACAGAGGCCACTACTGAGAACTCTTTGTCTTAATCTCTTTCCTTTTCTCTATGCCTTTTGACATTTAATAATATCCTGCTTTAGTTGCCCACCTTTCTGGTATAAGGATGTTCCATGTTATTATGCCCTTTAGGCCTCATGAGGTGGGAGAGTGGGCTCATGTATTCCAGAGTAGATGCGCCAGGGGAGGTGTCCAGCCTGGTAAAGGCCTCAGTGACTTGCATGGAGAGGCAGAGGGCCTCCTTACAGCCCTGTTTGCAGGGAGCATGAAGCTGGGATGGAGAAGGGATGCACCAGGGAGACAGAGCCAGGATCCTGAAAGATCTGGGCTGCTAAGAATTGCAGGCTGACTGTAACAAAGCAAAATTTCCTAGTAAGAAATGTAAAGCCCTGCTCTTAGATCTTTAAATGAAATGACAGGAGGCCAGAGTATGAGTCATGGCCAGGGTGGGTCTCAGCAGAGCCTGTGTGTAAATTAGTGGTGTCTTAGTTAACAGCAACATTAAATAGGAGTATGTAGGGTGAAACACAGAAAACTTGTGCTCTGAGGATGTATTGATAGAGCTATGGCACCTAGGATGAAAGAAGTGATCCACTTACTTGGATAATTTTGCCTCAGGACTATTTTGCACAGGGTTAAATAACTCTTTCAGGAGAAAACCGAATGGAAGACACACAATGTGTTGGACCCAGGAAGTGAAGAGGAAGAACATGGGGAAAGCAACAACAAAGTAGTGTGGAAAACCAGCTGGGGCAAGGGGCCTGGGAGCTGGCCTCATTTATTCACAGATGTCCTGAGGGAGAGGACCTGGATGCATGTGACTGAGGGCAGTACTGGAACACGTGGTTGGAAGCTACAGTAAGACAGATGTCACCTTGATCTAATGAAGACTCTCTGCCGTGGAACACGTGAGGTGAGTTCTCTGTCACCAGTGTGTTCAGCAGACCCTTCCACGAGAACCTTGAGATTCTTGAAATCCTGTGAGTGAGTCAGTAAAGGAGGGATTTCAGCCATTGTTGGGCAGCTGGGGGAGATGTTGGATTAGGGGGTCCTCTTACCTATAAAATCACATCCTTAAAGCTCAACTTGCCCCATTGTTCTTTTCTGTACACATAATCAGTTGGGGAAGCTAAAATATAGGACTGAGAGCCAGAAAACCTGAGTTCTAGTCACAGCTTGGCAACTAACTTGCTATGTGACCTTCAGATAATCAAATCTCTTTTCTGGGATTCCATTCTCTGTTCATTAAAACAATGAGGCTGAACCAGGGATTTGCAAATTCTGTTCTGTGGAACTTCAGGGGTCACCTAGGTTCTCTCTGTTCCAAAAAACTAGAGTTGGAAAATGTCTGTCCAAGGTTGAATCCAGCCTTGGCATGCTGTGGCTGGATAGCCTCTTCTCCAGGCCATCTCAGCTCTGGTAGCTCACCTGTCCTGTATTACTGTGGTCTTGGGGTGACTCTACTCCATCCAAGCCCTAAAGAAGCTGCACTTGTACCGCACAGCTTCGTGGTGATCCAGGCCTGCCCTTATTGACCCTTCACCCCTTGGCCCTTGGCCCTTGGCCCTCCAAGATGTTGATCCCACCCTTGCTTCCTTCTCCCAATTCAGGGTCCAGCCCCTCTTGCATTCCTTGTAGTTCTGAGCCTTTGCTCTACCACCTCATTCAAGTCACTGGTGAAAATATGGCTCACTACCCTGCCCCCACCACGTGGTTGCACTACAGAGTTCACAAAATGCTTTAACATCCATTGTTGTATTGATCCTCTTCAAGGTTAGGGAGGAAGACAGGGGAAGTATTAATATATATATATAAATAAACCAAGGCAAAATGTTAAATGACTTGGTCAAAGTTTCAGAGTTTGTTCTAGAACTTATGTTTTCTGTTTCCTCCACCAGATATTTTCCCACTGCTCTAGGTGATTTCTCCATAATCCCAAGTGGCTTTTGATCACCCTGTTTTTATGATCGCTCTTCCTAAAAGCATAGAGTACACAGACCTATGTCTCCTCCAGTAATGTGTGCTCTGAGTGACTAAGTCCCACGAGCTACTGCTTGCATACGGAATCAGAAGCTCTGCTAACATGCAGCATGAGGACATCCCTGGCCACACTGTCTGAGACCTGCACAGCCATGAAGCAAAGATGCCACCCAGAGCATTGAGACTTACCGAGCACTTTCTCATGCATTAGCTCATGTAACCATAGACACATCAAAATAGTCTGCTGTGATGTACTTTTCTCAGAGCCTTCTGCTCTTCTGGCCTTCACATATCCTTCAACATGTCTTTAAAATGCACCAAAACTCACTTTAGCTTGTTCCTCTAGCTATTTATAATTCATGTCACGTGGATCTGCTGATAATAAAAATATGTCTCACCATTCTCTGAACCCAACTGTGCCCGGCTCTGCCCTATGCTAATTCTTTACAGGTGGCGCTCCATCGACCTGGCCACAGCCTTGCCAGGTGAGATTGGTTATCTCCATTTTCAGATGAGGAAACTGAGGCTTGGTGATTAAATGGCTGGTGAGCCTGTGACCCCAGAGCTCAAATCCTCACCATCTTACCAGATCCCCTCTAGCTGAGCCTTCCTGCACAGTTTCTCCCTCATGTAAATGTGACCCACTCCTTGCTCATTGCAGATGTAAACCATCTGTGATTGGTTATAAAGGACAAAGTGACAGCTTGTCCTATGAGTGTCCTATTGGGCTCCTGTCTGATAAGGAAGTATGTATCTTCCTGATAAGGGACAGAGACTGTTTTGTTGCCTCATTGTCTTTTGCAAGATTTCACTTTCCCAACTGTGGGGTTGGGGGTCTGACTGTATCTGGACTTGGGTGGCATTTCCTACCTCAGTTTGGTGGGCAGGATTTCTCTGTGACTCTCCTCTGTTCTGGCATGGTGAATCTCGTGTCTAGAGGCAAGTGACTCAGTGTCCCTTTGACTGTGACTTTTTCTATTTCTGAGAATTCTCTCCCACTGGATCCTGTTTTCTTCTTCCCTAATATACCATTCTTT